CCATAGGGTTCGTGATAGGTGCTGGACCTGGATAGTGAAATTTGAGGGCGTAAATGCAGATGCCCCGTAAAATGGCAAAACAGCTTCTTCTCGGTTGCTTTGTCCTAGGTGTTTCTAGCCGTACGCCAGATAAATCGACGGTGCTTTAACTGACACCCAAACTTAGTTTAACAAGTTTAACTGCCAGTTCAGGAATCACGGCATTAGTGGGTGCAGATTTAAGGCTTCTCTGATCACTTTGTCTCAGTGTAAGCTCTAGGTTAAACCAAACAAACAGCATAGCATGTAAAGATAAAAGTTCTAAACGGGAGTAACGGCGAGACGGTTAAGGTAATTATGACATCGGGAGAAATATGACAAAATTGCTTCTTCAGATGTAGCGTCCCGAGACTCCCTGAAGACGAAAGAAGACAAAATACTCGGGCAGAATATATATATTCAGCACGGAGAAGGTGTCCGGGCTATTGGCATGGCCCAAAAGGCCAGCCCACCCAGCGAGGTACAAGGGGGCTAATTCGAAGTACAAAAGTGGCGCCTCACCGGAACCGAGGGATAAACCACCATCGTATTACATAGCCTCCCTCCTCTTTTGAGCGTCGTCCCCGGTGCTCCCACAGGTCAACCTCCCGCGTCAGCCACTACAACATAGTTGGTGCAGTAAAGAAACACCCATGAGCCGACCGTGCCAGTCACCAAATTAGCGCGCAACTGAGGGGATACTTGACCTCAACGTCACTGATACCTCTTGGCAGCTTGACTGGATCTGGGGTTTCATCCGGTTTGGGGATTTCATTCAGGACGGGGGAACTGCGCCGGCCATCATGCGTGTCCATAGATAGATGCAGGAACACTGGCCTAAAAGCAGATTTGAGTAAGAAATTACAAGATTTAAAACAGGTCCATGAGGGACGGTAGGGGAAATCCGTAACAAAACTTCCAGATGGTTCACGGCTAGTGTCGCTTCAGTCGTTAATAGCTTTTCTGCAGAACACGGGACTGGGAGGGATGCCGAAGGTAGACGTCAACACCAACCCTTCTGTTAGGGGTCATCACCATTCTCCCATCCGTAGCATATGTACTTCTTCCGTCCCACTAAGGCTTATCAGGCAGAAGTGGAAAATCAGGATACATGTCCTTTAAGACCGGGTTCGCTTTCCGCTGCCACCAATGTAGCGTCCCGAGACTCCCTTAAGACGAAAGAAGACAAAATACTCGGGCAGAATATATATATTCAGCACGGAGAAGACGT